GTTTGGACCAGCTGGGACTATATTAACAAACAAAAACATCACAAAGACTAGGGGTGTTCCTCAGTTGGTGGAGTATTTGTCAAGGATACACACCCCAGCACTGTATAAAAACAAACAGGAAAAAAAAAAAGTGAGGTGGCACACACCTGTAATACCAATACTTGGGAGGCAGGAGCAAGCAGATCTCTGTGACTTTTGAGGCAGCCTGTTTCACATCACAAGTTTCAGGCAGTATGATCCTGTTTTATAGGAAGATCCTGTCTTTAAAAAAAAAAAAAAAAATTGGGAACAGGGAATCCTTGGGGGGAGGTTCCATGGTCTCATTGTGAGGAAGTGAGCAAGGTGCAGGCCAGGAAGGCTATAGCGAAGAATCCATGTGATTACTATCATCTTTTATCTGTGGTGCTGGGGACAGGGCGGTCCAGGGAAGTGCTCTATCACTGAGCCACATTCCCAGCTGTAATATGGAATTGGTATTTCACTGAAGACCTTAGGATGCTTAAGGTGAGTGACATTGGATGGGAATGTGTGGTGTGTAGCAGCTGGGAGGGTGGTTATGAGGGAACTGTATGTAGGCTCAAGTGGGGGATATTGTGCAGGTGCACCACAGAGCTCTGCCTGCTTCCAGGGTTTGCTCCTGCCAACCCCCTTCCTGACCTGCCTTCTCTGCCAACTGAGTTTTCCTGCCTGCATCTCAGGTGCATCTCTACCTTCCTGTCTTGTGTTCTCAGTGCCATGGCAGAGCAGGATGTGGAAAATGAGCTTTTGGATTATGATGAAGATGAAGAGCCCCAGGCACCCCAGGAGAGCACTCCAGCTCCCCCGAAGAAAGATGTCAAAGGATCTTACGTCTCCATCCACAGTTCTGGCTTCCGGGACTTTCTGCTGAAGCCAGAGCTCCTGAGAGCTATAGTTGACTGTGGCTTTGAGCATCCTTCAGAGGGTATGCTACTCTGCTGTCACTCCCAGCCATCCCCTCTTCCAAGAGCTAATCCTACCCATCCTGAGCTTGTCCTGTGCCTTGGATAGGGGTTGTGCTCCACTATGAGTCTGTTATATCAGCAGCCCCATGCAAGCAGATGATTAAAGCCTGACTTCACTAACCTTCTGTGCTAGAGGAGTATGCAAGGAGGCATTATCCAGTCTCTTACTCATACATTTTTCTCTTCCTCAGTCCAGCATGAGTGTATTCCCCAGGCCATTCTGGGTATGGATGTCCTGTGCCAGGCCAAGTCTGGGATGGGCAAGACAGCTGTGTTTGTGCTGGCCACCCTGCAGCAGATCGAGCCCATCAATGGCCAGGTAGATGTGGGCTCCTCTCTGGGCTGGGGTCCCATATGGCAGTGCAACCTTGGATTTCACGAAACTGCTTCCAGATTGTCTGTCAGCTTTTTAATTTAAGCTGGGAAGTGAAACATACTGACTGCAGTCACCACCATTACTGCTGATTTCTTTTGCAGGTGTTTTAATACCATCATTATAGATAAATTCTAGGGTCTTAGGAGTTATGCTTGAGTCCAGTATGGGAAGCTGAGGCAGGATTGAGTGCTTGGGGCCATAGGAAGATCCTGTTTAACAACAACACAAAGTCATATTGTGGTGGGCTAGAGTGGCTCCCTGTTAGAGGTCTTGGGTGGGTGTCTGTATTTTCAGGGTGTGGTGTGAGCATGAGGATTTAGGGGAGGGCTTGGCTGTGGGTGGGTGAGAAGACATGGCAGCCTGAGGTTACTAACCCTTTTATTTAGGGTCAATGCTGCCATTCTCTGCTCCTGGCCTCTTAAGGGAGACACACCTCAGTAGCCATGCGAAAAAGTTTGAGGATAGGTCAAGGATAAGAGAACTGGAGTTGTTTAGGCCTTCAAGTGGCTTATGTGGAAGGAACTATTTTAAGTGGCTTATGTGGGTTGGGGTAGGTAGGTGTTGATTTTGGGAAAGAAGATCTGTTCCTTGCCCACGCTACAGGTATCAGTACTGGTCATGTGCCACACAAGGGAGCTGGCCTTCCAGATCAGCAAGGAGTATGAGCGCTTTTCTAAGTACATGCCCAGTGTCAAGGTAAGCCTGCTCAGGTGCTGTGTTGGGCACCATGGGCCCGTGTAAAGCCATGATGGCCTCAGCCCAGCCCAAGCAGCATTTATCAAACTTGGTTTATGGTAACTTTATGTTCCTTGATTTATTTGTTTGTTTTTATTTATTATGTATACAATGTTTTGTCTGGGTATACATCTTGACGCCAGAAGGGGGCACCAGATCTCATCATATATGGTTGGGAGTCACCATGTGCTGGCTGGGAATTGAACTCAGGACCTCTGGAAGAGTAGCCAGTGCTCTTAACCTCTGAGCCATCTCTCCAGCCCTATGTTCCTTGAAAGCCTGATATAGCCCCCCATGTGCTGCTCCCACATACCCCTCTTCAACAAAACAGCCTCTCAGCTTTGCCCTTACTCTTCAGGCTCCCTTGGGTTCTGAGGGAGTGAGGCTGCAGTGTCGGGTGCCCTTGGGATGGGTGGGACCTATGCCCTAAGGATAGTGCCCCTAGATGGGTGGAAACAGCTTCCTGTCTGTCCCTATAGGTATCTGTGTTCTTTGGAGGCCTTTCCATTAAGAAGGACGAAGATGTGTTGAAGAAGAACTGTCCCCATGTTGTGGTGGGGACTCCAGGCCGGATCCTGGCACTTGTACGAAGCAGGAGCCTTAACCTGAGGAATGTGAAGCATTTTGTGTTAGATGAATGTGACAAGATGCTGGAACAGCTGGGTGAGCATCCATACCAGCCTGTCCAGCCAGTTCCCCACTCAGAGTCATAGTCATTTTCTAGGGGTCCTGATGGGGCAGGCAGTGGCTCTCATAGTGGGTCACATGGGTGGCCAGAACTCTGGGCTCCTGGGAGAAGTCTAAGGGAATGTTGTAATGTTGACAATGTGTGCTACTTCTGTGCCCAACTAGATGGGACCATAGGCCCCATGAGCTGCCATCCCTTTAGGACATGTAGGCACACCCAGGGGATGTGGAGGAATATAGTGGCCTCTGCCACCCATCAGGGGCTGGGAGAGATGGGCATGTGTCCTGGGAAGCAGCTGCAGCTCTCACGCCAGTGGCTGTCTCTGCCTCAGGCTCCCTTTCCCGAAGCGTGGCTCAAGGCGCACTGGCAGGGTCGCTCCATGCTGGCAGCGAGTAAGTGGACCGCGGCTCCTCCCATGCCTGCGCTCCCGCACGCCCGCCCATCCGAGCCCAGCCCCTCAGACAGTGGGGACACCCCTGGGCCCACTCCACCATGGCTATGGTGCCAGTGTTCTCTGGCCCAGGTTGGGAAGGGCTGGTTCCTCTCTGGTTTGGGTCTGCTCTGTCAGACAAGACACTCAGGTTTGCTGTGTGTTGGCATCCTATCTAGACATGCGCCGGGACGTGCAGGAGATCTTTCGCCTAACACCCCATGAGAAGCAGTGCATGATGTTCAGCGCCACCCTAAGCAAGGAGATCCGGCCAGTCTGCAGGAAGTTCATGCAGGATGTGAGTAGGGTGACGCCCCAGCTGGCCGCCTGCCCACCATGGCTGACACCTCAGCGAAGCAGCTTTGGCCCTCCCTGAGGGCCTGGGCCACTCCGACACCCACACTGCTCTCATGGCCTGAAGGATGCTGGGAGGCCGGCGCAGCCTCCTTCCTTCCCCTGGTTTGTCAAACGGGGAGCTGAGTGTGTTCCACACCTGCTGAGCCAGAGCAGAGCTTACATCCGGCTTTTGGGAGAGAATTGTTTACTGAGGTTGGGTGCAACAGGCCCTCTGGGAATCATCAATAAAGAGGAGCTGCTCCCTGGAAGGTTCCGGGCACATGAGACGCCCAGAAGTGAGCCCTGCTCGCCCCTTCCTGCTTCCCTTCCCACACAGCCCATGGAGGTGTTTGTGGACGACGAGACCAAGCTCACACTGCACGGGCTGCAGCAGTATTACGTCAAACTCAAGGACAGTGAGAAGAACCGTAAGCTCTTCGACCTCCTTGACGTGCTAGAGTTTAACCAGGTAATGCTTCCACTTGCCCACACCAAGATCTGAGCTGTGGGCTGAGTCTCTATGGGGCTAAACTGCATTCTCCTTTTTCAGGTGGTGATCTTTGTCAAGTCTGTGCAGCGCTGCATGGCCCTGGCCCAGCTCCTAGTGGAGCAGAATTTCCCAGCCATCGCTATTCACCGAGGCATGGCCCAGGAAGAGCGGTGAGTGCATGCTGTCCATCAAGGCCAAGGTGCCCCTAGGACTCGTGTTTGATGCCTGTTTGTCTCTTGCTGTAGCCTGTCCCGCTACCAGCAGTTCAAGGACTTCCAGCGTCGCATCCTGGTGGCTACCAATCTGTTTGGCAGAGGCATGGACATTGAGCGAGTCAACATCGTCTTCAACTATGACATGCCAGAGGACTCAGATACCTACCTTCACAGAGTGAGTACTTCCTCCCTGGGTGGATGGGTCAGGGCCCCCACCCTTCCTCAGATCCTGAAGAGTGCCTGTCTCCTGACCCTACCTCTCTGCAGGTGGCTCGTGCTGGTCGCTTTGGTACCAAAGGCCTAGCAGTCACTTTTGTATCTGACGAGAATGATGCCAAAATCCTCAATGACGTTCAGGACCGGTTTGAGGTGAATGTGGCAGAGCTTCCAGAAGAAATAGACATCTCCACATACAGTAAGTGGCTAGGGCCATTCTGGGCACAGGAGCTGGGCTCCAGCGCAAAGGCCCCTTCTCACGACCTCACTCTTCTCTTTACAGTTGAGCAGAGCCGGTAACCACATGTGTAGCCAAGGCACCATGGCCACCTTCTTTCCCACGTGCTGCTTCAGTTCCTCTTTCTAGATGACAAATGGGTCACTTTTTATTGTTCCCAAGTGTTGTAGCTGTGTAAGAATAAACTTTTATTGTGAATACCTGGTTCCAGTCCCATCTTTCTCTTGGTCAGCCTATCTCATGAACTGGAGGTCCAAGCCAGCAGACCCCTCCACCAGCAAGCATGCCATGTCTTTTACATCAGTATCATATTTAATTTCGTGTGTCAACATTGAAAGGCTTACAGGTTTAAAAAAAATTATAAAACAACCTTTTAACTTGGGACCCTTCTGCCCTGGATGTGGGGCAGCTGGGCCTCTGTACCGTGCGGCTCAGCAGCAGGCAGGGTCCTCAGTGGCTGACATGCTATTAGTCTTAGGTTAAGAAATTTGAACGCAGCACCCTGGCCTCTTACATGCCAAAGAGCTCAGATTAAGGGACTTCTACTTCTGTCCTAGGACTGCCTGCCTCATCCACCAGGGCAGTGGGCTGGCTGCCTTCTGTTTCTGGGTAGGCAGCAGCTGTGGTGGGGCAAAGAGGCAACCAGAAGCAGGATGAGCCCGTTACAGGGCTCACTGCCAGGTGTATATATCCCTTCTCTAGCAAACGTAGGAAGACACAAGGGACACAAGGCAGAAGAGTGATGACCTTGAGTATGTGCTGCTGTCCTGGCTGGAACTTGCCTTCACATCCCTGATTCTGAGGGCCTGAGAGCCTGCAGAGGAAAGAGCCCTTGAGCGAAGCTCACCCAGGTGTGCCCTCCCAGCCCTGCCCCAGGCTAGCCCCTTACTCTGGTGCCAGTGCCTGTTGTGGAAGAGTTGAACTCCGAGTACTTGTTCCCAGCAACCAAGCAGGCCCACTTACAGTACTCTTCCCTCACCTAGGAGCCAAAGCGCCAGGTTAGGAGGGAGAAAGGAGTGGGCTTGGGGCTCAGGGCTGGCCCTTCCTCTCCCTCCACCCTGGGCCCTTCCCATAGCCAGCTCTGGCCTGCCTACCTTCTTGTTGAGCAGGCAGAGCATGACATACAGGAAAAGGCCCTGCAGGCAGTTGAGCAGGGTAAAGATGTAGGAAAGCCATAGGCTGTGGGGGTTGAAGAGGAACAGGCCGAAGCCCCAGGTACAACCGAGCACGAGAAGTTGGGCAATGGCTGTGATGGTCAGCACCCTGTGGGGGTGGGCAGTTGTAGCTACCAGCCTGCTCTCCAGACCTTCAGACTCCACCTTCTCAACCCTAGCCCTCCTCAGCCTGGCTATGCCTCTCTCACCTCGCCTTCCTTAACTTCTTCATGTTTGGATTGATCTCAGAAAACTTCATTGTGAGCTTCCAGAGAGTGATCACGAAAATGGCAGCATTACACTGGGAGGGTATGAGGGATCTTGGGTTAGAGTAGAGGGCTGCAGGTAGTAGTCTTGTTTCTTAGGCTTCCAGTACCCAGAGAGCACTTACCAAAATGATGAAGGCCATGGGTCCCACAAAACTCCAGAGAAAGCCCTCCTTCCTGTAGTCCAGCCAGCAGCTGGGGGAGGAGAAGGTCCCATCACTGGCCCTGCCCACCAGGTCCCAGCGCCCAGCCTTGGCCTGACCTCAGCACCAGCCACCAGTATACTCACTATGTTGGATGCCCATAGCCCTCCCTTTTGACAGCTGCTGAGATGGCCACGATGAGGAGGGGCACGCCGTAGCCAAGCAGGCAGCGACACCATGTATTCAGGCCTTGGCCCTGGAACACTCGCACCACAAGGAAGTAGAGCTCTACGCCCTCCAGTGCCATCCAGCAGAAGGCTGCCAGGAAGCAGTAGTGCAACATCACCGCCACCAGGCGGCAGCGCAGGCTCACCTGTGGGTGCGAGGTTTGGGCTGTCAGTGCAGGGCAGGACCACTGGCCTTCAAAACCTAAGGAACGCCCCTAGCAGCTGGCCTCTTTCAGGTCCTGGTTCCACACAGAGCCCCAGGGCTGACAGAAGGCCACCCTACTGGACCCCACGCTCTAGTGAGGTCAGGACAGGAACATACCTCACCCCCTTCGTTCTCGATGCCTGCCAGGAATATGGCGGAGCCCAGGAACAGGCAGACGCACAGGTGCAGGTGCACCATGGTCCGAGAACTCTGGATGGGCTTCACCAGCAGGAAGGTCAGGACACACAGCAGCAGGCAGAGGAGGGAGATGGACAGCCCCACCTTGGTGATCAGGGCCAGCCTCGGGTCCTAGGTACAGGCAACTCGGGATGAGTGGTTCCCTCACACCCCTGCTGGAGGACCGCTCTTCCCCCTATACCTCCTCCCGCAGCACCCATGGGAAGTCAGAGACCCCACACTCCTGCCATAGACAACAGGGCCAACTCTGCCTGGCTAATTCCAGCTCACCATGTGGCCCCAGTGTAGCCATGCTCAGAAAGCTATACTTCTGGGATATTCTATGCAGGGTATTTTTTTTAAAAATCACATTTATGCATTTGTGTGTGAGGGGTGAAGCTACCTGCAGGTACCTCTCATCACTGACCCATCTCATCTACCTGGACTGGTGCATTTTCAGCAGTACTTCACAGTTGTGCAGGGACTCAGGCAGAGGCTACTGGGTCAAAGGGAGGATTCCAGGGGAGGAACTGAGGAGCAGGGCATGGGACCATCCAAAGGGACCTATCTGAACAACCACTGGGGTGCATCCTTGAGTGGGGCCCATGGGTCCTGCCTAGGTCCCTGACCTATGAGGTCAGGGCTTACCACTTACCTGCACCTGGTAATGGGCCATTAGGATGGCGAAACTGGTCAGGTGGTTGCAGTGGCAGAAACCAGTGCCATTCATTGAGCAGCCGTCAGTGGCCCAGCTCCCACTCCCATCGTCAGAGACTTTCCAGAAGGCACATAGCAGCTCTTTACGTGATGGAATTGAGCCATTCTGCGGACAGACAGATGGTGAGGATGTCTGAAGCACACTTAGGGTCAGGGTCTGGGGTGAGCAGAGAGTCTTGCTTTTGGCTGCATGAGTAATATAGCTACTCTGTGCTCAGATAGCATGGGGAGCCAGATATGGAATGACAGGGCACTAGTCCCTGCCTTGAGTTGAAGCGAATCACAAGCAGTAACAGGTAATAAATTCCAAAGAAACTAAAAGAACCAGTGGGACATGGCTGCTTACAGATTGTAGGGCCCCCAGACTATATGTAAACAGTTTTATATATTCCATGTTACCCTCAGACTCTATGTGGCTGAGGATGCGCTGACTTTTATCTTCTGGGTGTTGGGTTAGTTTTCGTAGTGGTTAGACTTTGAATCCAGGCCTACATGCATGCTAAGCAAACATTCTACCAACACAGCTCTATCACCAGCCTAAACTATTTTTTTTTTTTACTTTGAAAATTAAATGTGTGTAGCTATGTATGACACACACCTTTAATCCAAATACTCAGAGCAGAGTTGTATCTCTGAGTTCAAGGCCAGCCAGATATAGCTAGTGAGACCTTGTCTCACACAGGGACTAGAGGGGGTTACCAAGGTTAGAGGGATGTCTCAGTGGTTAAGAGTATTGGCTGTTCTTCCAGAGGATCCAAGTTCAAATCCCAGCACCACCCAGGCTCACAACTGTCTAATTCCAGTTCCAGGGAATCAGATGTCTTCTTGCCTCCATGGGACCAGGCATACATGTATACAGACATATATGCAGGCACAATACCTGAACACATATTTTTTAAATTACATTGATGGGGCTGCACTTGTGCATATGGAAGGCAGAGGAGAACTAGCTTTCTCCTTCTTCAGTGTAGGTCTTGGAGATCCAACTCAGGTTGGTAATTAAGTTGAGGCTTGGTGAAAAGCACCTTTGCCCACCGAGCCATCTTGTCAGGCCCAGACTAAATCAAAACAAAACAAAACATTTTATGGTACTGAGGATCAAACCCTGGACCTTAACATGACAAGAAAGCATTCTACCATTGAGTCAACTGCTGGCCTTCCCTGCCAGTTATTTATTTGTTCATTCACTCATTCTTTCATTTACTAATTCATTCATTCATCCAATCCAGCAGTGGGGCTGAACCCAGGGCCTTTCTGGATGCTAACCAACTACTGTACCACTGAGTTAGAAGACAAGGTCTTGCCAAATTTTTCAGGCTGACCTTCACTCTAGTTTAGGCAGGCCTTGAACCTTGAATTTCCTGCCTCCCAGAAGCTGAGAGTAAAACACCTATGCCACAAGACCCACCTCAGGTTTTATTTTATTTTTTGAGACAGGGTCTCTCTATGGAGCTCTATCCTGAAACTTTCTCTGTAGACCAAGCAGGCTTCAAGCTCAAAGGGACCCTCCCAAAGTGCTAGAAATAAAGGCATGTGTCACCATACCCAGCTGTAATTTTGATGTATTTTGTTATTACATTTATTTAGTTCATGTGGGTGTTGGAGGGAAGGAGTCAGGGCAACTTTTGGGAATGGGTTCTCTCCTACTATGTGGGTCAAGAGGGGCCACCTTGACTGGTTAGGGAGTGAGCAGCAGAGCATGCCTTCCCCTCCTCCCTTCAAGGACTCACCAAATACGAGTATCTGAACGTGACATTTGAGGCAAGCTTCTCAGTGTCCGTGTTGGTCAGAAAGATGGAACTGATGTTCGAATGGAGTGTAAATGTAACATTTAGAACTGGGCTTCCATAACGTTCCTCCAGTGTATCCCACCTCGTGTCCAGGCTCACGGGGGCATCGGCCAGCAGCTTCTGCATGTTTGGACTGGATAGGATGCCTGCCATGGAGTAGCCTGGGGGCAGACATGCAGGCTTGCCTCTTCTCTTCTGTCTCCATCCTCCCAGCGACAACATCCCACCCAGGTCTGTCAAGATCCTCCCGGTGGGCTGGTGTCTACCTGCCCTGCAGCCCAGACCTCATCCTGGCTTCCCTAGAAGTTGCCCCCTTTGAACCCTACCATTTTCTGAGCTTTTGGCTCCACTTGTCACAGCCCAGTCCAGCTTCATCCAACCTTGGTTGTGGTACACTGTGGTAACATCTTTGTTGTCTTGCTCCTTGATCAGCAGAGACAGTTCTGAAGAAACAGGGACAGTGACTGGGGACACGAAGGACAGGAGATGGTGTCTGGGCTGGAGCAGGAGGAAGGCTTACCAGTGTTTGAAGGGGACGTGTAGGTAAAGGGGCCTTTGGGTAAGAACTGGGCCAATGTCCGAAGGCTTTGTTCCAGGTTGGAGAGCAGCTGGGTGGCCACTCGGTGGCGGGCTAGGTGGTCCATATCCATGGGGGCTTCCACCAGCTTGTCCACAGCCTCAATGAGTTTCTGGGGTGAGTGACAGAATTGTTGAGGTTTTCAACAGAATTGACTGGCTTTCCACCCTTCTCACCACAGACACTGGAGAGCCACGTGGGTTGCTTGGGAGCAGCTGGAGGGTAAAGTAAGACTTCTACAGTAGTCAGAAAACAGGATGAGGTTTATAGCCCTGTGCACTTGCACATCACAACAGCATGCAGCACCAGAAGGCACAAGGCTCTGCTGAGTCACACCCCCAGCCCTATAATCTTGAAATTACTTGTTCATGACCTTAAGCTGCTGATCTTCCTGCCTCTACCTGCTGGGGTTGCAGGCGTGCCATATGCCACACACCTTGTTTAGTCACTGCTGGGAGTCAACCCTGGGGTATTTGTTAAGCATTCTATGAACTGTGCCTTCCCAGCCTGTTTGTTTGTTTGGACAGGGTCTTGCTATGTATCTTAGGAACTGGAGATCCTTCTTTAGGTTCTAAGCAGCACAGGCCACCACACTCGGCTTATCATTGCCTATAACCCTTGTGTCATAGCCACACACGTGGCTGCACATGTCAGACTCATGTGCCCCAAATCAGAAGTACTGCTTGGGTGGATAAAATGCTGTCAGTCCATTCTGAAGCCTGTGGCTTGCTCCCCGCTGCACTGGGGTCCCCAGAGTATCCCCCTCACCTGGATGGTGTCGGTGACTGTGGCTGGATGGAAGTCTCTAAGCAGATTCTGAACTTCAACAGAAAAGCGAGAGAGACTCTAAAAGGGAAATGGTGGGTCATGGGTGAGCGGGAGCACAGCTGAAGGGGACGGCAGACTGTGTGAAGGGACCCAACCTCCTGGTTCCCACTGGCTACTAACCTGGCTATGGGCTGTGGGCAGCAGCGTCCAGGTAGGGAAGTCTGCTTCTGTGGGGACAGGACTATGGTTCAGTAATCTCAAGAGTGCACTGTCAGGGCATGGAGGTGCTTGGTGGCTAGGTCAGGTACCTTGGCACTTGGTGTCCCTTGGCCTATTGACGTGCTTAGAAAGTGGCTTCCAACCTGGGCGACAGCGGCACTTGTACGAGCCCAGAGTATTAATGCACATGGTGGAGCGGTGGCACCGATGCTGCCCGGAGCTGCACTCATCCACATCTGGGGACACAAAGAGGGTTAGAGCCTTTCCTGTCCGCCCAGGCCCTCCTCGGTACTGCCAGGCTCTGGCCTGTGGCACTCATCTTTGGTGGCCCTGGTGAGTGGTATGTGATGGGGAGGGGATGTGCAGAGCTAAGGTGTGTAGATGTGCGTCTGAAAATATGAACGATGGACTTTTTAGTGACTGAAGGCCACCTGGGGTCTCCCAGGGCTTCCTTTGGGTATTCCAGCTCCCTTCCTGGACCCCACAGCTTTTCAAGTTCAGCCACGGGAGATTAATGCCTGACCAAACAGAGAGCCTCCTTTCATTCCTTTGATTAAATATGAGGATGAAGAGAGCTAACCTTTGGGTTCAGTTCCCAGCACCCACATCAAGTGGCTCACAACCACCTGTTACTCCAGTTCCAGGCAACCTGACACCCTCCTCTGGTTTCCTTGGGCACCTGCACCCATGAGGTGCACGTATGTATACACTCAAGGCACATATGTGTAAAATGGCCCTGGATCTCACCATATAGATCAGACCGTCCTGGAACTCAGAGATCTGCTTGCCTTCCAAGCACTGGGATTAAAGGTATATGTCACTGCACTTAGCTAATTTCTTAATCATGACATTAGCTGTTGTAATTGTGGGTCCTTAAAAAGGTTGCTTCCGGACCTTCGCACTTGGTGTCGATTGGGCCATTGGGGGATCCAAGAACAGGTTTCCAGCCTTGGCGACAGATGCAAGAATAGTTGCCCAATTTGTTGATGCAATGGGTGGATTGGTGGCAGAGGTTTTGCCCGGAAGCACATTCATCCACATCTGGAAACAAAACCAAAGGGTCATTCCTGCCCCACTCACACCACCATGCACTGTTCCCTGTTCCCTCTCTTCTTACTGACCCAAATTCAGTTGCTACCTGGTGATCTGCAGCTTTACCTGTAGAGCCCTATGGTGGCCTCTGCAGGGCAGGCCCGGACCAGGGAACCCAGTTTCTAGGCAGTAAAACCAGGAAGGAGATAGAGTTATGGCACTGGACTTCTCCACCAAGGCCTCTTGTTGCTTTCTAATCCTTTTCAGAACAGGATGTGATACTGTTCTCACAGCTGAGAAGGAGCTGAGGTCTGGGCGTTCCGCAGAACTCCTAGCCTCAGAACACCCTGGGGCCTCACTATCCTGTGGAAGAAACATGTTGCCGGGAGCTGAATCCTCAGGGGAGTCTTCATAGTTCTGGGAGCTCATGGAACTCTGCAGATCTTCTCCCTCTTCAGTGCAGATCTGCCTTTACTTCCTCCCAGCTCCTGTCTTGTAGAAGCTCTTGTAGCTTCTTCTGGGGGCTTTTCCACGTGTCTGTGGGTCTCAGCCTGGGCTTGAGGTCAGGTTCACACCTGCATGCAGAGCTGCTCCGGTACTGGTGCAAATGCTGTGTTCCTATAGACTCTAGGGTTCTGATCCTCATCTACCTCAGGAGAAGCAGCAGAGGGATTGTGGGCTTGAAGCTGAAGCCTCAGGCTCAGGGCTGGCCAGGCTTCATGGCACAGAAGCATCTGGAGCATTTCAGTCTTCTCCTCCTGGGAAGACTCTCCTCATATTCATATGAAGGCATCATATAGAGTCCGTGGGAAGTGGGACTTTCTTGTCCAGACATGGAAGGAAGTAGTAGAGGGTTCCCTAACTGCCAGCAATGAGTGTGGCAGCTATCAGTACCCCAGCCTGAAGATTTGGGCCAGAGGCCACATGACTCCTAGGAGTCAGTGCAGGAGGGACTCTCTAGTCCCCATGGCAGCCCCTGCCCCATTCGTACAGGGTACTATTCCCTGCAGGGTCCCACAGGGAATTCCAGGACCGTTAGGACCATGATGCCACACTCACACTAGGTCCCCAGACCTCTGCTCTGGAAGGACTGACACTTGCTCCTGAGCCACACTCCCTCTGGAAAGAATCTCTACAGGAGGGGCAGGGCAAGGAGGATAATACTAGGGTGGCCACAGTGGCACACAGCCTGTGGGGTGACAAGCTGATGTACAGCCCAGCATCGCCTGGCTGAAGTTACAGAGGGTAGGAACATACACTCCCCTGAAGCCAGCCCTTCAAGATCACAGAGGTAGAGCTGTGTCCTTCCGGCATGGCCACAGACCTGGGAATGTGTGGAGTGTAGCCCCATTTCTTCTTGTACTGAATTGGCTGGACTGGCAGCTGCAGGTTGATGTCATCAGGTGACGGTAGGTTCTGGAGCAACGGTCTTTCATGACCCCTTCTATTGCACTGTGCTTGCCTTCAGCTCTCTGAAGTGTGTGTGTGTGTGTGTGTGTGTGTGTGTGTGTGTGTGTGTGTGTG